GCTATGAGTCGGAAACGACTCGACGGCACTTAACAACAACAACAACAGGAAATTACTTAATTTTTATCTTTAAATCAAACAAAATACGCTTAATTTAATATTGATTTTTAAAAGTTTATTTTAAGCTCTTAGAAGCCTCATCACAATGTTTCCCTAGGAAAACTTCAGATAAGATAATCCCCCTTTAATATTCATCCAAGTCTAAATGTACTGTGGTATACTTCATAGGATACTGGAACGGAAAAAAGTCATTAATGGAAAAATCAGTGAAATCCCAATAAAGTCTGAAGTTTAGTTAATAGTGTACTTGTATTAGTTTCTTAGTTTTGACAAATATACCACGGTAATGTCATATGTTAACACTAGGGGAAATGAAAATTGTGTGAGGGATATATGGGAACTCTGCATTACATACGCAACTTTTCTATAAAATAAAAATTACACTCAAATAAAAGTTTATTTAAAAAAAAAAAGAAGTCATCCAAGGGGAATTAGTTGCAAAATACCAATTAGGTGGTTTCATGCTGAAGGCAGCACTGTAATGACTGTAATATATACAGATGCTACTCATAAACATAATGGAACACTGAACCATTAAACCCACTTGATTATACTCTCATACCGCAATTTTCCTTCTCTGTCAGTCTTTCATTCTCTTCTTTGTGTTTCTCACCATAAATTGACCCCCTTCTCCCTTCAGAGGGCAGAACAAGAGAAGACACAGGCTAAAAAGACTTCCCCAAATAAAAAAGCAAAGAATAAGGAGAGCTTACTGGCAGAAACTAACACTGTAAGGCCAAACTGTACTTAATACAATTTTAATTTTTTATTCAAGTGCATTCAGGTGCCAAACTCTAAAGAAAGAAAACAAAGAAGGGAGAGAAAGAAGAAAAGAAAAACCACTAGTTCGTATTGTATTAATAATGAACAAACATGAATGAAAGAAAAATGAAATCAAACATATTCTTCACCATACCTCATATGGAGACTTTAAAACCACTCACAATTCCATAGGAACACTTGGCTCTAAACATGCTCAGAATAAAGACAGATTAAAAAGAGGTGTGTATAAATGTAAAGTGAGTTTCCTTTAAGCCCAGCACCTCCTAGCATTGCTGGCATACATTAAAATTATTATGTTTCCTTGTTTTATTTTTTTTAAGTTGTATGACAACTTTATAACTTACTGGAGGTAGGTAAGAACTGCTTTGGAGATATTTTGTCTTAGCCCTTTAATCCATATCCCCTGCCACTCTTCCTCCAGACAGCAAAATTAAGGGTGCTGGTCACAGCAACCTTTCAGTTGTAGTGGTGCTGCCTAATGCTGAAGTTGGAGCTTCTCTCCATGATGTGGAGACGGTAAACCCCTGGCAGAGGTAACTCTACCTTTACCCTGCTCACTGATCAGGAACCAGCCTCAGAATCCTTCTCAACCAAAATTCCAATCAGCCAGAAACACTCTCATTAAGGAAGACACCTTGTGAAACCTACTTGTCGTCCCTGATCTGTGCTGCTCACCATGAATGAGGAAAGGACAGATTTAAATGTGACCACTCTATTTCAATATATTTATGCATCTGAAGAATAACTAAGATAAGATTAAAGGAAAAAGACAAACAAACCTAAAGGGCTAGAAAGGAAACCACAAGACAGAAAGCAAGTTAAAGGGTTCTGACAACTTTAAGAAAAAGAAAGAAAATCACGAGCTGAGTTAAAGCACAACTTACTTATGAGAAAACATACTGACCCATTTCTGCAAGGTCTTCATTCAGTTCTTGTAGCCAGAAGATGTCCATGTCATCTAGGTCGTAGCGACACACAGATGCTGCGAGTTCTAGGATGCTGATATAGCCAGGCTCTGTGGGTTCTGGGATGGAGCAATGAATATACTTCCGGGGCCGAATGAACAGAACCTCCTTTGCCTTCTCAGCTGTAATTCTAGAAAAGCCAAGGGAGAGACACTGATAAGAACGAACAAATGACAGATTCCAGGCACTGATAGGATGGGTCCAACAGTACTCAGGCTATATAGTGGAATTGGTTGCTCTCCCTTTCCACTCTGGGTAAAACCCCTCATCTGCTCTCTGACAGGTATGGGAGATTTTTTTCTAGAAAGCAAATAGTTATAAAAACTCAGTAGTCTTGTCATCTGCTGTGAATTCTCTGGCTGCTAATAATTGGCTTCACTCACCCTCATGTATCCTGGGTCCCTACTACTATTTGTTGTAATAAAATTTTATTACATTATTGTGTGTTGTTGATGTAATGACCCCCACATTTATTTAGAAAGGGAAACCTGGATGGGAGGAGCTGCTCAAAGGCACAGCCAGATTCCATACTAAAGAAATACTGCAGCCAAACTCATAATTCTTGTCATGAAGGCAATATTGGATGGTAGTAAAGAATATAGGCCCTAGACTCACAAAGGCCTGTGGGTTTTTTTTTCCTGCCCTTCACTTACTCTGTGATCATGGGCAATTATTTAGTTTCTGTAAGATTCCATTTTCTTACTAACAATTATCACTTACACAGTGAGTCCTCAGCATTTCTTTAGTTCATATATAAATGTTCAGCAGGTACAGACTATACTACATTCCCAAATGGGCATATTAGAATCATTTGTAAAAAGCATAGAAACTGCACAAATAAATATCACAGATTTTTTAAAGGCTTGAAATAAATTTCTTAAAAAGTAACTAAATAGTATCCCCTTGCAATATTATCTCTATGAGTCATTTATCAAGATGCTTCTTGTTAGTCTTGCCACTCTGGGCTGACCACTTCTCTCCAAGCTGCCATGACTCATACCTGAAATAAAGGACAATTATAACCTCTGCAGCAGGTGGTATTTTCCAAACCTGGCCACAACAGTATCTCCCAATTCCATACGCTCATCTACAATGTGACTTTGCCACTCTTTAATCAAGTGGTGACTTCTATTTTCCCTCCCAGGTTCGTGGGAGTTTCGGTGACTGTTCTGACCAAAGAATATGGCAGAAGTGATGCTATGAGAATTGCTGGGTCATGAAAGGGAATGTAGCTTTTACTCTGATCATTGAACATGTGCACATGGAGCCCTGATGGAGCCCTGTAAGAAGTGTAAGACCGCAGTCTGTAAGAAGCCAAGGTTGTCATGCTGTGAGGAAGCCAAACTATGTGAAGAGGCCACATGGAATCTGCAGGTCAAGCTAGTCAAGGCAACAGAAATGTTAGTGAACAAGCCTTCAGATGATTCCAGCCTTGCCATTGAATCTTCTTAGATGAGGCTCTAGATATCATGGAGCAGAGACAAGTCATCCCCACTGTGCCCTGTCTGAATTCCTGACTTACGGAATCCTTGAGTATGGTAATATGGCTGCTTCAAGTTGCTAAGTTTGGGGGCAATTTATTATATAGCAACAGTAACTAGAACAACTGCCAAAGGACTACTAGCTACTTCAAGCTTTAATTAATGTGTATGAAAGTACTCTGCATATTGTGTTCCTCACTGAATTTTCATACCTGGAAACAAGAGTGGTAGAATGCTGGTGCCTAAATTGGAGGGGGTAGGAAATATGGGAAAAGTGAAGTGAGGAGAGGAAGAGGAGGTGGGAAAGATCTGATGACCAAATATTTACAGGAGTGGGAGGGGGCAGGCTTGTGTCCTCATTTATTAAGGGATGTTCTTGCTCTGGCTTACCATAAGAAATTAATACATTTTGAAAGTAAAGCCAAAAGGATCTCCTGATGCAGTGAATATGGGATATGAGACAATGAAAACTCACAGATTTCGGATTAAGGATTTTGGCCTGAATAAACTGCAATGACAAGAGTTAGAAGAATGAATTTTCCATCAGTTAAATATGGAAACTGCAGGTAGAACTGGTTTGGAAAAAAGATCAGTAGTTCAAATTTGAGACATTTTAAGTCTGAGATGTCTACTGGACATCCAGATGAAAATGTCAAATTGGCAGTTTAGTGAATAAAGTACATCTATTTCTCATTTATTGACATGGCTAGGTTCCAAAGACTAAGTATTTATGTGAAAATTGGCTCTGTGAAAAGAGAACGTTTTTTTTCCTGCTTTCAGACCATCCATTTGTATGATTTTTTTTTATTTAGAAAATATGATAATAGAAATAATAACAGTTAACATGTACTGGTTTGCTCATCACTGTGACAAGTCCAAACCAAAAAACCAAAAAGCCGTCGAGTTGGATCCAACTCATAGTGACCTGTCCTTGGGTTTCTGAGGTGGTATCTCTATGGAAGTAGATTGCCCAGTCTTCCTTCTGAGGAGTGGCTGGTGGGTTTCAACTGCCAGCCTTCTGGTTAGCAGTCAAATGCCTTAGGCACTACGCCACCAGAGCTCCTGTGACAAGTACAATCATGGATTGATTATTTCTCTGCAGAGAAGGAGGCTTAGAAGAGGTAACGTTGGTTAGAACTGGGCTGTGTGACTGGAAAGCTCAGGGCTTAACCACTTCACCTTCTTCATATGCTGGGTCAGAGCTTCTCTTGGGGAGCCACCTTCAAGTGGAGCTCTACCCTCCACATCAGGAGAGTCATCAAGGCTCGGGGCTTCCTGATACAGGATACTAGGAGCCTAGCCATGCACCTGACCCCACCATGGCAGAGGTATTTGGCCCAGTCGGGCTCACTTTGGGATGTCATTAAACTCACACACATTTCTTCAAAATACCCTCTTTGATGCATCCTTCTTTCTTCCCTTCCTACTCCATAGCAATTTTGAGCTGCAGGGTGTCATGCCGTATAGGAGCTGGGAACCAGAACAGGTCCCTACTGGCTCATTGCTGCCTGTGTATTCACCCAAAGGCCATGGCTGCAGCACCCCTTCTTGGCAGGAGGGAGTACAGGACACCAGGCAGTGCAGCTTTAGCTTTGAGAAAGGGTACACTTTGGAGCCATTACTGCCATGCCTGCTGCTGCCTTGTTACTCTGCAGAATAGTCAAGTATTAGATTTTTTACTATTGTAAATATAAAATGTTGAGTAATGAAATAGTGGATAAGGGATGAGCCCAGTTAGTCCAAAGTTTACATTCCAAGGAGAAATTGGGGGCTGTCTGAATATCCAATTACTTACTCTTTCAGTTTCATTAATGATGCAGAAGTGCAAAATGATATATTGTTAAGTCAAAAAGCAAGTTAGCTAATGATCCCATCTATTTACATACACACACATGTGTACGGGTACATGTTTATGTGTGTAAGCCCATATAATATATAATGTTTTATATATTGATTAGCTCTGCTTTTAAATAGTTCATCTAAAATTTTTAAAACACACCCATATGTGGTAAATACATCACTAACCATTTGTGTGTTATATAACTTGCAATGTATGTTTTTTTAGACCAAAAATGAAGAATTGTTTTTCTTCCATTAGAATTTTACTGAAATAGAAACTAATTAAAACATACAAATTAAAGTCTTAAAAAAAAAAAAAGATCTGAAGCTTGTTGTTTAGCATTGATTAGTGTCAAGATCCTCTATGCTGCTGTTGTTGTTAGGTGACATTGAGTCAGTTTCAACTCATAGTGATCCTATGTACAACAGAACGAAATACTGCCCAGTCCTGTACTATCCTTACAATTGTTGCTATGCTTGAACCCACTGTTGTAGCCATGTGTCAATCTATCTCGTTGAGGGTCTTCCCCTTTTTCTCTGACCCTCCACTTTACAAAGCATGACATTGTTCTCCAGGGACTGGTTTCTTCCGACAACATGACCAAAGCATGAGAAACAAAATCTGACCATTCTTGGTTCTAAGGAGCATTCCAGCTGTACTTCTTCCAAGACAGATTTGCTCATTCTTCTCGTAGTCCATGGTATTTTCAATATTCTTTGGAAACAGCACAATTCAAACAAATCAATTCTTCTTCGGTGCTCCTCATTCACTGTCCAGCTTTCACATGCACATGAGGCTGAAAAGACAATGGCTTAGTCCTCAAAGTGACATCTTTGCCAAGACTAGAGACACGTGGGTGAAGTAATCTTGGACTTTCCAAACCAGTCTAGACACCAGGTGAGTACCACCAGGGTGACCTCAGTCAATGCCATGTAAAGCAGAAGAATCACCCATCTGAGATCTTCTTGAATTCCTTACCCCCAAAAAAGTGAAATATAACAAATGATTGTTGTTTTAAGTCACTAAAGTTTAGGTTAATTTGTTATGCAGCAATAGATAACCAGAACAACTATTTAAAAAATCTTGTAAAACATTTTTGTTCTAATGACAAAGGTACTTTCTGAAATCTCCCCTCATTCTATAAGAGTTCTTGGTCTGAACTCCTCTGTTGTCATTTGAATTGTTTTTCTTTTATAGGTATGGTGTCATTTCTGAATCTGGACAGTTAATATCTTTTGTCATTTTTGGGAAATTTCAGTCATTATTTTCTCAAATAAATTTTCAGACTCTCCTTTCTCTGTTCCTTCTGGGACTCCAATGACTTGAAAGAGATCTTGCATTATAGTTGTCCCAGTACTGGATGTTTTGTTCATTTTTCTTCAGTCTATATTCTTTCTTTTGTTCAGGCTGGGTGATTTCTATTGCTCTATCTTGAAGTTCACAGATTCTTTCTCTGCTGCTTCTACTCTGCTGCTGAACCTATTAATTATGTTTTAAAATTTCAGTTATAATATTTTACAATTCTAAATTTTCCATTTTGTTCTTTATATCTTCTATTTCTTTGCTGAGATTTATAATTTTTTCATTTGCTTCAAATGTGTTCATAATTGCTTGTTAAAGCAATTTTATGATGGTTGCCTTAAGACAGCTATTCTAATTGTCAGCATATGTTGGTTGTCTTTGATCAAGTTGAGATTTTTCTAGTTCTTGGTATGGTAAGTGATTTTTTTATTTAAACCTGTAGATTTTTGGTATTATAAGATTGTGGATCTTATGTAAACCTTTTGTTTAAGCTGGTGTTTTGGTCAT